TTTCGCCAAATATACGGTACCGCCGATGACTGTAAGCAATCACTTGAGTGTTACCTCCGCTCACATACAGTACCGTCGGATTGGCCGCACCCGTCACCTGTCGGCCCATCTCTATGTCTGTCCGCAAATCATAACAAACAGACATTCAGTCATCAAATACTGGTTCATAAGTGATGGACACAACACTCACGAGCGATGCAATGGTTAACTCTGATCAACGGTTTGTCCCAAATCTGTGCCAGAGTTCGGGCAACGATGGCAACAGTGACCAGCGGTGCCCCCATTCCCGGCCCTTTCGTATAACTAATCACATCTATGTCTTCGGCGGTGACGTCGGCCTCCTTTAGCGCCTTCTGGAGCAGAGCCGTGATGTGACTCCTGTGGTGTTGAGCCGTCTTCCGGGGTTCAAAGCCTACGCAACACATCACCAAACAGTTGATCCAAACAGTGATATAGCAAGTGATGGATCAGATGGTGTGATCGCCGGTACATACCTTCGCCGATGGGTGTAATGTAAGTGACTCTTGGATTGGACAACACGTGTCCGTCGCGGACGACACCGATTCCCAGCTTATTAGCGCTGCCCTCAAAGCCCAGCGACACTACCATTGGATCAGTTGTCCGGTGATCGTCGACTCAAACCATGTGTTTTATGGATTGTAAACAGACTTTAAAGCTGTACTGTATTGTCGATCCATTCAAACGCATAGAGTGTGTGTACAGCGAGTCTACGTGTAGTGCAATAGGCGTAGAGCTGGGTTGGAGTGTTGGCGTGAGTTTGCGCACTGAACGCAGCATTTCAGCCAATTGTTGGCATTTATGTGTGTTTTCAAAATGCATTGACTTTTAATGCAATTGAAAAGCGTTGCGAAAACACAATACAAATAAACAACACTTTTGTTTGTAATTAACTAACAGTTAGTTAATTACAATTAACTTTTGTGTCAATATATTTGCGTTGAGTTTTGTGATCACATCCTATACTACGAGTGTCAGCGACGATAATAAACAAGAGGTAAGGCATGGCTTAGCGATTGCATCATTGGATCCATTGTTTGATTAATGTCTTTGTGATTGTCTCGATGTCAGGCATTGGCGGCCAAAACTCGTGGCAACGATTACTACAAGAAGAAGGAGTTCACTGAAGGGATGGCAACGCAGGAAATCGAGGAAACATATCTCGATTATGATTCGTATGTTTACCACGTGTTTAATACATATCTAATCACATGAGTTGTGTCCATACAGGCCAGTCCCGGGCGGCACTCGGCTGGCGGTCGACCGAGTCAACGGAGTTGCGGCCCAAGACTTAGTTCTCGAGCGGTTCTTAGCCTCATATAAGTCTGAGGTTAAAGCCATTTATAAGGCAAACCCTAACCTCAAGAGGAATAGCGGAGGCTATGAAGTAGACTTCAACCTGTTTTACAGCCATTTGATGAATGGCTTTTTGAAGCCCTTCCAGGAGGAGGCGCCGCACGCCTTCCACGCGGTGACCGTCTCTACCAAGACTTTAGGCCCGGCGTCCAGAGTTCAGGTATGTCTCGGCTCAAGCCATGCATTACAAAATGGTAACAGTGTTTACGAATGAGCGACGAGTGGTTTGTGTGGTATAAACAAAAACAATTGCATTTTGTAATCAAGTGTTGAGTGAAAACAACTCTTCAGTGTTTGTGTCCAGTGTTTGGCATTGGATTTAAAAATCGCTTTTAAATCAATCATTTGTTTCGTTAATAGTGTTGAGAAATGATTGACAGATAGTTGTAATTGTTATCTGAATAGTGTATATAATTAGTGTATCGATGGCTGAGTTTGGCATCACTTGCATGACAGACACGGCTGAGGCCAACGCCAACACTGCCAGCGCTGTACCCGAGGGACGGGTCGGCAAAGGTATGGCCACTACTCTTGATTGCCATTCATTGCCGTTCATTACTACAGAAATTATTATTAAATACTTTTAGTTATAGTATTAGTTATAGTAATAGTTATACCGTATAATTATCCCAACACTTGTGTCGTGTATTTTGTGTGTTAAATAGCGTTACAAACAATTGACTGCTTTTTAACAATCAATTTATTAATAGATTTAAGATTTAAAACATTCAATCATTGTATATATAGGAAGAGTTTGGGACCCGTTTTGACCGGTATTCCACATACGCTTATGTGAAGAAAAGGACGGAACTGTTGACCAAATTCACAAACGCCAAGAAAGAGAGATTCACAGTGAATGAGTGGTGGATCAAAGTGATCATAATGGATAGCAAACGACCCACATATCTGTTCGCAGATCTGGTCAGACCAACGACCCTAATGGTCAACGGCCCGCGCGATTTGCGTTGAATGACCGCACGTTTAGTTTCAATTGTATTGATGGCTAAGAATTTGATCCAAAACTTGATATAAAAAACATGTTTTTTTTGCATAAATTTTTTTCATTCATGTGATTATTACGGTTATTATAATTACCATAACTATTATTAATTAAATTATATGATATATTGTATTGTTTTTTGTTGAAAATCCATTTAACTAGTGATGAGAAGAAAGTATATTAAATGATAAAAATTATCACAATTTGTAAATTCATTGATAATTTAAATACAAAAGCATTGTTTTAATTGTCATTTCTATTAATGATTAAAATTGATTTTTGTTGAAATAAAAAGCGATAAAACTTTATATCCATTTTGACAACAACTATGAAAAGGCAGGGAATGGGGGCACCGCTGGTCACTGTTGCCATCGTTGCCCGAACTCTGGCACAGTATTGTGCGCTTCCGTATGTCATCAAAGGCATGGATATGTCGTTTTCGGGTCTCCTGTCGTTCATTGAAGTAATTAATTGTTTCTAATTTTATTTTTCAATTTATTTAATCATTTTATTATTAATTCAATTCAATTATAAGAAAAACAATACTAAAAATGAGCGACAATTCACTTAACAAATCAATTAATTACTTAAATAACAATAGTATTAGAAAAATGAATGTAAAAACTGTTTAATTGATGCCATTATTATCACCCATTCCTACCACTCCTCCAGAAAAGGGCCGAACAGTGGATCCAAAGCGGGGAATACACGGCCGAAGACCTGTGCTATTCAT